GATTTATTATCCTTCGAATGCAGTTGACTCGTAACCTGTACTGCAGCATTGCACCCATTTAGGTCTCAATCGTAAAACAAATGTACACTGTTAATAAGGGGCCGTCCATAAATGACGTCACGCACCTATTGGGGGGGGGGGGGTCAGACATTTGTGACGATGCGTGACGAGGGGGGGGGGGGGTTGAGAAATGTGACGTCACATAAAAATGCGCAACTTTCAATAAATATAGACAACACGTTCTACTTAATTAAATAGACTTTTAATTAAATGTTTTCTCCTACAACATCGGAGTGCAGCGCCACATTAAATACGCACTACAATGACAATAGTTTAAAGCGATTTGAAGCATGGTTTTATTTTTTTTTGGGGGGGGCAGAGCTTTGTGACATCATATTTGAAGGGGGGGTCTGACTTTTTGTGAAGCCGTGTGACGAAGGGGGGGGGGGTCAAAAATCGTCCAACATCGCGTGACGTCATTTATGGACGGCCCCTAAATACATCGGTTTGTTTTGATGAAACAAAGTCGTAACTTACGTGCCAGCGCTTAATTTGTGTTTTCGATTATTTTACATTCGACAAAAAAAAAGATCTGGTCATTTCTCGCACCCCCCATAGAAAGGGCATCTTGCACCCCCAGGGTTCAGAGGAAACCACTGCTTCGATGCCACACCGCTCTGTTGGTTGTTTGACTTGCATCCCACTGGGATTTTTGCACACAGCGTTGGTGTACGGTGTTTTTTCTGCAATATTTTGCTGTCTTTTCTTGGATTTTCAGTTTGCACTCAGTTACATATTCACTTTAAGATGTTTTTGTTCATGTTTTTTGTTTGTTGCGGTTGCACCCGATTCAAGAGCCGAATGGCTCACAGGGCTATACCTAATACATGAACTTGAACTTGATGTGAGTAAGGAGGAACTCCCACAGACTTCGCCTTACGACGGGGTGGACGTTGTCAGCTGTGACCAAGGCAGCAACATCACTGTTGCGATGCGCCATGCCCCAGCGTCGTGAAGCAACGAAGGGGACCGAGCTATTCGACCACGAGTCTCTCCTGCGCCCGATGCAGCAGTAGCAGTCGTAGTAGATGCAGCAGTCGTAGTAGATGCAGCAGTCGTAGTAGATGCAGCAGTAGCAGTCGTAGTAGATGCAGCAGTAGCAGTCGTAGTAGATGCAGCAGTAGTAGCAGTCGTAGCAGATGCAGCAGTAGTAGCAGATGCAGCAGCAGTAGCAGTCGTAGTAGATGCAGCAGTCGTAGTAGATGCAGCAGTAGCAGTCGTAGTAGATGCAGCAGTAGCAGTAGTAGCAGTCGTAGCAGATGCAGCAGCAGCAGTCGTAGCAGATGCAGTAGCAGCAGTAGCAGTCGTAGTAGATGCAGCAGTAGTAGTAGATGCAGCAGTAGCAGTCGTAGTAGATGCAGCAGTAGCAGTCGTAGCAGTCGTAGCAGATGCAGCAGAAATCGTAGTAGATGCAGCAGTAGCAGTCGTAGTAGATGCAGCAGTAGCAGTAGTAGCAGATGCAGCAGCAGTAGCAGTCGTAGCAGATGCAGCAGTAGCAGTAGCAGTCGTAGCAGATGCAGCAGCAGCAGCAGTCGTAGTAGATGCAGCAGTAGCAGTCGTAGCAGATGCAGCAGTAGCAGTCGTAGCAGATGCAGCAGTAGCAGTAGTAGCAGTCGTAGCAGATGCAGCAGCAGTCGTAGCAGATGCAGCAGTAGCAGTAGTAGCAGATGCAGCAGCAGCAGTAGCAGTCGTAGCAGATGCAGCAGTAGCAGTCGTAGTAGATGCAGATGCAGCAGTAGCAGTAGTAGCAGATGCATATGCAGTAGCAGTCGTAGTAGATGCAGTAGCAGCAGTAGCAGTCGTAATAGATGCAGCAGTAGCAGTCGTAGTAGATGCAGCAGTAGCAGTGGTAGCAGATACAGCGACAGCAGTAGCAGTCGTAGCAGATGCAGCAGTAGCAGTAGTAGCAGATGCAGGGGCAGCAGAAGCAGTCCGATATTCGGCAGCAGTGGCAGCTTCCGATATTCGGAAGCCACTGGAGTTATGCACTTTTACATCTCTATTGAAAACGAATTTCTTTAAAAATGCTTTTTGTATTTCGTTTGTTGTCCTTCCCCCGCACCTCAGATTAGCACGGTTGGCTTACGTAGGGTGCGAAAGAAGTTCCACATCAATACAATGTCAACCCGACCGTGTCTCGTGAGGATATGTGCTGTGGAGAGAAATGGGTAGGCGATTGGTTTTATACTGGCGGCTAGAGTCTTCTCGTCCTCTGGCTTGAGATGGCTGCCACCTATGGGTCAGATGATTGCCTGCCACCATTAAGCAATTGGTAATTAAATATTTTTTAAAAAATGTCCTTAAAAGTGTAAAGTTATGGGGAAAAAATTCACGAAAATAAATTGTCACGCGCAACGAGTCTGTGTGCAAAATGTCAGCTCGATTGGATCACGGGAAGTGGGTTAAAAAACGACCGAAAGATTTGCACGGTCGTAAGCGCACAAGCAAGCAAGTGAACTTAATATAAAGGATTTTTAAATAAGTATAACCCGTAAAAACTAAGTTTTTCACTAAAAATCCTTTATATGCGTGGCGGCTAGAGTCCTCTCGTCCTCTGGCTTGAGATGGCTGCCACCTATGGGTCAGATGATTGTCTGCCAGTATTAAGCAATCGGTAATTAAATATTTAATTTGTTTTCCTTAAACAGTGTAAAATTTTGGGAAAAAAAATTCACGAACATTAATTGTCTCGCACAACGAGTCTGTGTCTAAAATGTCAGCTCGATTGGATCACGGGAAGTGGGTTAAAAAACGACCGAAAGATTTGCACGGTCGTAAGCGCGCAAGCAAGCAAGCAAGTGAACTTAATATAAAGGATTTTTAAAAAAGCCATACTTCTATCGTTCATGTGGAGAAACGGAGATATATCTATAATATATGTGCAGATATGAAAGTTACGCATTGTCTGCTCGTATCTTGTTACTCGCATTCTCCACAATTTTAATCGGCACTGCCCGTCACGTGTTTAGCAATCATCCGGCGCGTGCCGCGTGTAACGACTTGATTTAGCGTTTGGATGGGGGGAGGTGTAAATTAGTAAATCTTGGAAAAGACGGAGTATCTTCTTGGTTCTTTCGGTAAAGTCACGTAGAATGGAAATAATAAATTAATAAAAATAAAACAAGAAAAATAATTCTCACGACGTTTCGGCCACAACGCAAGCAGCCGTCCTCAGGTGAAGAACAGGTCTGTCGAGACGACTCTGTCGTCTTCGGTGGAAAGAAAATAAATTAAATAATAAAGTACGACGTTTCGATTGCAACACAAGCAAGCGTCATCAGGTCAGAACTAAATCTGAGAGACAAAACACAGACGCGGAGACACGTCTGTCTGTGTGTGTCTCCGTGTCTGTGTTTTGTCTCTCTCTGTGTGTGTCTCTGTGTTGTCTCTCTCTGTGTGTATCTGTGTGTCTCTCTTTGTGTGTGTCTGTGTGTGTCTCTCTCTCTCTGCTTGTGTGTCTGTCTGTGTGTCTCCGTGTCTGTGTTTTGTCTCTCTCTGTGTGTGTCTCTGTGTTGTCTCTCTGTGTGTATCTGTGTGTGTCTCTCTCTCTCTCTGCTTGTGTGTCTGTCTGTGTGTCTCCGTGTCTGTGTTTTGTCTCTGTCTGTGTGTGTCTCTGTGTTGTCTCTCTCTGTGTGTATCTGTGTGTCTCTCTCTCTGTGTGTATCTGTGTGTCTCTCTCTCTCTCTGCTTGTGTGTCTGTCTGTGTGTCTCCGTGTCTGTGTTTTATCACTCTCTCTGTAGTTCTGCCTGATGACGGTTGCTTGTGTTGCAATCGAAACGTCCTACTCTATTATTTGATTTATTTTCTTTAAATTAATTTTCTTTCTACGCGACTTTACCGAAAGAACCAAAGAGTAAAACCTGCAGTCACGAACGCTTCTAATGTAGTTTAAAGACGCAGTGGCTTGCGAGGGCTGGGATTGTGGGAAGCCCTGGCCTGCAGTGTAGCAATCACTTTGATTGTGTAATTGCGTGAAGCCATCTTTTGATTATTGAATGGTATTTGAGTTACTCAATAGCTACGATTAGTGTGACTATTCAGGAAACATTTAAAATGTTAGGGTCTCCAACTCTGAGCATTGTCCACTATCTCCCTTGCATTTCTATTTATGTGCTATGAAGAAGGTCTGTTGCCCGAAGCGTCACCTATATTTTTTGTTCAAGGTCACACGGTACTATTAGCGCATCTGTTGAGTTTTTGGTGTAATTGTGTACCAATGATATGAATAACGGCAGGTGTTCCCCACGAGCCAATTGCATCTGTGATTGACGAGAAAACCCCACTCATAAGAGAACCCGTGCAGATTAAGAGACCCAATAATGTCCTTGTTTAGGAAATGTCCGTAACAGAGTTTTGTTGGGGGGTTTGATCGCGTAAATTAAGTGTCGTTCAGCCCCGCCACCACCCGACACGGCCAATGAGTAAGGTTTGTCACGTAAGCAAAATATGCCGATGAGTTACTAGTTCGGCACACCGGTGGGTGTTGGAGAGTAAACCCACGAAATTGTTGTTTTAATTTCCGACGTTTCGCTAGTAATTACAACGAGCCTCATCAGGCGATGGCCAGAATGTAAACGCTGATGGTGTTTCCGTAAACTCTCACCCACACTGGCCCCGACAGTCTATGTAAGGGTGCGTGTGCGTTGTGAGAGAGTAGAGAAAGCGAGCGAGTGGTAGGATACTAAACAAATACTTGTCGAAACGATCAAAATATAAAAACAGGACTTTTGGTAATTGTGTGTTTATGTGTGCGGGGAGCGGTGGTGGAGCGGCCGGCGACCCGAGTTCGATTCCCGCTCACGGCCAACACCAGTGACGATTATCTGAACCGATCCTGGGCCTCCCCTAGGTCTACTCAGCCTCAAATGAATACCTGGTGCGGTGTAAACATCGCCACTGGGGAGACAAAGGCGGCCGGGCGTGGTGCTGGCCACCCACCCCCTCGTGTGCGTCCGTTTATGAACTCGCGTGCAACTTAAACAACCAAAAAATCAACCGAGACAACTCTGTTTAGAGAATATATACACATTTGTATAAAAGCTTTAATAAATAATCTAAAACTTGAGATAGGTGCACCAGCGGGGAAAGCGACTTTTAAACGAGTAGGCGGAGTTAAGTTGGATGCACTTTAGTTTCGAGTCAATTAATGAAAGTCGTGAGTTCGTGGCGCGTCACTGGGCATGCCACGGGACAATATTCGTTGCGCAGTGGAGGCTCGTCTCAATTTACAACATTAATTTAAAAATATAGTTATTTTAAATTAGAAAAACAAAAAAAACCTTACGAACATAAAAAAACACTTTATATATGTATGTAAAAACCACGTTTTTCTCATTTACGTCACTTGCTTTGAAAATAAATGAATTGTTGAATGTTGAGTCATCCCATTGAGGTGGAAGACACCTCATCACCTTATTGGCTGATTGAAACCCCTCCCACCGAGTGCTGCCCAATAACAAGTCACGGTTTCAAGTTAATTTGTATATGGACAGCCCCCCCCCCCACCGATCCCTGCCCCCCTACCCCCGCATAGACATCACTGCCGAATAAATGACAAACGTGTTTCTGTTATTTACAATCATATATAAGCTAAAGACAAACGCAACATTGAGCTACTTACTGCCTGAAAATTAATTGAGACCCATACGCGACAGCCCAAGGCAACGCGTCGATAGGTAGGGTGGTGGTGGGGGGGGGGGTGGAAGATCTGTTTAACTTTTCCTGAAAACTCTTTACAAGCCACAACGAAACAAAGCAGTTTGACCCGAATTTCTGGAGCGATTTCCACCCGACCGTGACCTTGCAACAAAAGCAATCATCTTGGAGCGTAACGAGAAACAGAAAGAGAGGGGGATTGGTGATGGGGGGGGGGGGTAATGCCAACTGCGAAACGGCGTGGCGACAGTGATCACGTTGGACCGCGAAACGAATTTCGATGAGCCCAACCGAGTTCACCGGACTAATTTACTGGCCCACAAAAAATGTGGCGAAGTATGGTCAAACAACACTCTAGTCGAGGCCTCCTTCTTCGCACCCCCCCCCCCCCAACAATAGTGGACTAACAAGCTGGGGGTGCGGGGGAGGATGGTCTGTGAATGTACGACCGCAGTTGAAGCCAGGAGTTTAGCGCGCCTGATGTGAACACAGCTCGCTCACATTGCACTGGCGATACCTTCAGGATGCCATGGAATGGCTCACGACGTTACACATTTGACCGTATTAAGGAAGACCCATGAGAAACGGCATCTTCAGATGGAAGCAGACTTTAGATTTAAAAAAATAAAAGCACAGTTGGTCTTATTACTCTAAGCGGTGTACTTCTATCCAGCTTCTACAGCAAGAATAGTGTTACACAACACAGCGTGTACATCGATAATAAACTCGCAGTGCCGATAACACAATAAGGCATCCTGTATAACTCAACGTTGGCCATAATCATTTTAAACCGCGAGACTCAGCTTCATTTCAACGACCCGCAAACAGATGTGTACGCTGTCGATCTTTGGCAAATGAAGGTGTGTGTGTGTGCTCACGTGTGGCTATGTATGTACATCTAAAACGCTGTACATTTGGGGAGAGAATCCACTCCGTCAGATCGTTTTCGCTGAGCAAGAGAAGCGCCGGGGACTAGCTGGGACAAACTGAGATATCAATTTGGAACAAAAAAGCACAAGTCATAAATACGTTTAGATGCACATTGCGTTTTATCCTCTATTAACGGGCGTTTTTTTTGGGTGGCATTCCTGCAAACTTGAATGGGAGGGGGTTATTTTTTATGATTATAACTAGCAATACCCACACACATGCCTGGGTTCACGAATGGGGTGGAGGGTGGCTGGGACGGATGGATTGTCCGGGGGGGGGGGGGGGGCGAGACATCAGCGCTACCCGCGGACACGGCTTAACGATGCCATCGTGCAGACATGCGCCAGCCAGCAAAACTTTTTTTTTTCTCATATAGTACGATAATATTATACGACGTATGTTTATAGAAGCGTGAACAATAATTTACCGATATAGTCACCATCAACACTGTTCCACGAAACGACACAAAAATACTGCCTAATTTGTACTTTCTAGCGCCACACTCAGAGGGGTTATAAGGCTTCACAAAATCGTGAAACCATCAAAAAATCGATTTGCTCTAAAGCTACATCCGCCGCCTGACCGAGTTGGTTGCGCAAGCAAGAAAGCTCTCGAAATCGCTCGCGCAAGCTCAATCGATCGCCTCCCGACTGCTTTGTCCGCACCTGAGCGAGCAGTTGAGCGAGGGGGAAATCGAACGGCTGATTGGGGATTGTAACGGCCAATTGTTACACATTCGCAAGTGCGTCACGTGACGAAACGCATCGCTACAAATCGCGGAGCAGATCGCTGCTCGAGATTCTTGTCTATAATCTGCCGTGAGCAACGGGGGGGGGGGGGGGTTGTACAACTGGTCGCAGAAACGTCCGCACGTAAGCAATTCGGTTGCAGGCAACCCGGTTGCACGCAACTGATTTGCTCAGATGTGGACCCGGCTTAGCAGATGCTGCGCGATCAACACGCGACATTCAACGACCGACTCGCATCAAATCATCGCCACCATCTGTTTGGTTTTAGGTCTTCCCCTTGTTTCACAGGTCACACGTTCTTCAAGAACTGTAGTCGTGATCTTATCACCACCACCACCTCCACCTCCACCATCACGGTCTTAGATCTTCATCTAGGTCACCAACATGTGGGTGCCACTCCAATGCCCGTCTCTGTCACCTGCCCTTCTCCACCCTGGAAAACGTATCCCGCCCATCGCAAACCCTCACAAACACATTGTTGCCAAAGTAGAATGGTGACGTTGAAAAGTGAATGTTGTTGTTGTTGCTGTTGTTGCTGTGCCGATAAGACTAGAGTTTGTGGTCTTCAGGGTGGAGAGGGGGTTCATGCATGAGACGACGTTTCCTCCGGACGAAGTTTCAGCTTCTCCTTCTCCGTCCCCACGTCGTAGGTGGAAGTCTTTTTCCGTCGGCACCTGAAACGAGCGGAGATATTTCAGGGGTCATGGTTTGTTTTCACCGAACAGGGCCCCACGGGCAAAGACGGCACTCCCACGGGGGGGGCAGTCGGTGTCAAAGAGGGGGTTGAAATCTCCCCACAGGACACCCACTGTCGCCTTCCCCACAAAGCGATGCTCCGCTTGACGACAAATAGGAGACATCTTCTTGGTTCTTTCGGTAAAGTCACGTAGAAGGGAAGTAATAAAATAATAAATAAAAAACATAATATTATATTATTATATTATATTATTATGTTTTATTTTTAGTATTTTATTACTTCCCTTCTACGTGACTTTACCGAAAGAACCAAGAAGATGAATCCCGGCAGTCACGAAAGCTTTAAATCGAAATAGGAGACATTTGAGAGATGCATTTGCTTGCTCGCGCGAAATGGACCTCTTATGGTCATCAGGATCTGATATTTATTCGTGTGGGCCCATCAATAATTTTGCGTCACCAATCCCGACGCCCAGCGGACTACTTGGGGCGCTCAGCTTTTGCTCGGCTTGGTTATTGCTTAGCGCTGTCACTGGAGGACACGGAGAGCCGGGGTGGGTGGTGGAGGAGGAGAGAGGGGGGTGGGGGAGCAGGAGAGGTGGCGAAGGGCGTGAGTGAGTGGAGCCTACGGTGAGAGACGGGAATCAGGGCGGGGGAGCGGGGAGGCAGGTGAGGCAGGTGTTGCTGGGAGAGGCGTTGTGAGCTCACCTGCCGAAACTCTTTGATGTGGACTTGTTCTGGCAGCGTTTGCGTGAGAGAGGGACTTGGGCGTGTGTTGTGTGCGTATTGTGTGTGTACTGTACATGTGTGTTTTGTGTGTGGTGTGTGTTGTGTGTGTACTGTATATGTGTGCTGTATGTGTTGTGTGTGTGTGTGTGTGTTGTGTGTGTACTGTATATGTGTGCTGTGTGTGTTGTGTGTGTTGTGTATGTGTTTTGTGTGTGTGTTGTGTGTGTGTTGTGTGTGTCATGTGTGTGTGTTGTGTGTTGTGTCTGTGTTGTGTATGTGTTGTGTGTGTGTTGTGTGTGTCCTGTGTATGTGTTGTGTGTGTGTGTGTCCTGTGTGTGTGTGTGTGTCCTGTGTGTGTTGTGTGTGTCCTGTGTGTGTGTTATGTGTGTGTATGTGTTGTGTATGTGTTGTGTGCGTGTTATGCACCGCAGCGGTCGCGTCGGGATTATTAGCGCACTGCGCTACGAACACCCGGTGAGCCGAGTTCAACTCCCACTGACAACCAATAACAGTGGCAAATATTAGAACGGGTCCGTGGCCCCTGCTAGGTCGACTCAGCCTTAAATGAGTGGTGTATATAAACATCGTGCCGGCCTTTTCAGGCGCTCGCTAACAGCACCTCCCCCAGCGGGAACGAGAGCAGGCAGCGTTTGGTTGGTGGTGGTGGCTGTGGTGAGTGGTGGATTGGGTTCGTGAAAGACACGACTGGTCAGTTGGAGGCAGTCGCCCTCCAACAACCACGGAGGGTAGAGAAGCGACGCTCACAACAACGAGCGGAGCGCCGGGCGGCTAAAATACATAGAGTTGGCACAGTAGGGGGCAAAGCTGGGTGCATCTGCCAGTCATTTTGGTCTGTCCCGTGACCTGCTGCCAGCGAACGTTCGACACTTACGTGGCCTCAAAGTCCACGTGGCCTGGCACAGGCACCGTGGTGACGTCACCGTCACTTAGTGGCGAATGGCGGGTATCGGTGAGTGGTGGTTCTGGTGATGGTTGCGGTAATGAAGATGTAAGAGCAGTCATCGAAGGACAGCACGGAGCGCACAGACAGGAGGGCGAGACCAATTTAATTCTCGTGAGATGTAATGAAGAGAGAACGACCGAACGGAAGGAAACGAAACGAGCGGGACAGCCCACTTACCGTATGGTGGCGATGAGCACCAGCGTGGCGATGAGGCTCACGGAGGCGGTGGCAAGCGCCGCCACGGCCAGGACCATGGAGTCGGGCACGCGGGGCGCCTGCAGCGTGGACACGTTCAGAATCCTCTTCTCGCACCGCTCGCCCTCGTAGTCCTTCTCGCACCTGCGCGTGAAACATTGACGGAGGTGAGGATCTCAATAAGGGCACTGCGATGGGTTGGCACCACAGCTGCTGCCGCTGCTGCTCCCGCTGCTGCTTTGTGCAATAAACTATTAAACGCTACGAACGGTTTTTATTTCACCGGCTAAGGCCCACCGAGCTGAATAGCGCTTCTTCATAAGCGGCCTGGATATCACAAATGATGGCTCAACGAAGTGGCTTATTATCACGTTGACATTCGTAGCAGTGAAATACGAGTCTTAATGCACGTTCATTTCTAAATGTGGAGGAGAAAAAACGAAAAACCCAAACGACCACGGAGAGAATGTGCAAGCTCCAAATATACAGCAGCAGGCGTCAGGGTCGAAATCGAACCCGTGACTTCCTGCATACCAGGCGAGGGAGTTAACATCTCCGAGCCACTGTGATGATGATGAGAGAGAGACACCGCAAACTCAAAATATACAACAGGCGTCAGGGTCGGGATCAAACCCGTGACTTCCTGTATACCAGGCGAGGGGAGTTAACAACATCTCCGAGTAACCGTGATGATGATGAGAGAGAGAGAGACACGCAAACTCCAAATATACAGCAGGCGTCAAGGTCGGGATCGAACCCGTGACCTCCTGCATACCAGGCGAGGGAGTTAACATCTCCTAGCCATCGAGGTGCCCCTGGCGTGGTGTTCACGCTGTAACGCGTTTTCACTCTAGCGCTTTTTCTGCCATTTGGGAACAATTTTCGCACGACGTTATAACGCGGCTTGTGAGCGGTAAACGACGCACTACTTTCTGGAGCTGCGTGGCTGAGCGGAGTGGCGTACCCTAAGTTACTTGTCCCTCCATCTCACTGCGTGTGCGTGGTAGTAGGACATCGTATCTCGCCAAAGTCTAGCGTCACATCATTTACGGGTAAATTGTTCGTCGCTTTACGCGTTTTCCGCTTAGCGCGACAAATTGTTCATGAAGGCATCAACTGCCGCGTTGAACGAGGACTATCTTGGAACGTGCTTGCGGCTGCGCTGCACAGCTCTCCCAAGGTGTTTCCGAGCTGTGCCACGTGTTTTTTTTTCTTTACATATATACGGTACGATGTCCGACGTTTCGCTCGCGGTGGAAGCTTCTTCTCCGGGAAGTCGACGATGATCTCCGTTCCCCAAGAATCGAAACGGCGCGCAAAAAAATCCGGAACGGGTCCGCCCGCCGGTGTTTGACGGAGGCCAGCCGCTATTATTTATTGATTTGCTTCGGCAAATGTTGTGCTGCCAGAGCGAGGCCGGGGGCAAAGCTCACCCACCGCCGTGCCATGCAGGCGTGAGAGAACACAATGTCAAAAGGTCACCGACTGTCCTGCACAAATTCACGAGCCCACGCGCTGTGTACCACTGCGTGCAGTACACCACGTCTTGGGTGAGTTTGTGTGTTCCTTTGTGTAGACAAAGGCGGACGGGCGAGCATGGTGCTGGCCACCCACCCCCTCCGTGTGCCGTACCAGCCTACATAGGTGCTACTCGCCAACAGCACATGCACTATAATAATACAGTGGTGCCTCTATCAACCCCCCACAGCCGAGGCGTGGTGAAGTATGGTCAACCAACCCCCTACCCACCACCACCACCACTTCCCCGCACAGTGTGGGGAGGCGGTCATCCAGCAGCGGAGTGACTAAAAGGGGCTGTGTGCGTGTAGTAGGTATAGGCACGTGTGTGTACGCACGTGTGCACGTGCCGGCCGTCGTGGGTGCCCCAAAAGTCAGTGAAGGCTACGCGGGGCAATCTTTGTCACGATGCTCACATGGCATCAGTCGCGAGCAAGCCACGCCCACGTGGCGCTCTCGTCACGGGCGGTCACGTGACGCTGGTTTCGTCACGTGCCGCGACTTCACAATGCGCGTGACTCGCACGTGGCTCAATCCCCCCATCATTAGGGCACGCTCGCCTCCTATTGTTGTACAGGCTCTGTGCGCGCGCGTGTGTTTGTGTGTAGAGTGAGTGTGATTCCTCGCGTGTGTGTGTGGAGTGAGTGTGATTCCTCGCACGTGTGTGTGTAGAGTGAGTGTGATTCCTCGCACGTGTGTGTGTGTGGAGTGAGTGTGATTCCTGGCTGGCCATCCACCCCCTCACATGCCGTGCCGGCCTTCATCGGTGCTTCCTAACAGCACTTGCCCCAAGAGTCTGGAAAGGCTATACGTGGGGATGGATCTTTGTCAACAAGTATACTGAGTGCCTTCAATGGGGAGCGGTGGCGCAACGGATAGCGCACTGCGCTTACAAACCCGGCGAACCGAGTTCAATTCCCGCTCATGGTCAACACCAGTGACAATTATCTGAATCGATCATGGGCCTCCCTTTAGGTTGACTCAGCCTCAAAATGAATACCTGCTGCGGTGTGTAAACATCACCTGCGGCGGAGACGCGGTGTTGGCTACCCTCCCCCTCGTGTGCCGTGCCGGCCTTTATAGGTGCTCGCTAACAGCACTTGCCCCATAAATATCTTAAGGCTCTACGGCGGGGCGGGGGAGGAATCGTTGTCTTTGTGACCCCCAACACATTTACGTGCGATCGAGCGTGATTCCTTAAGTGTGCACGTAAACACGTGTGCACACACAAACGGGACGTCATCGGTGGTGTAGCGGTTCAACTCACCGCACTTTACACGACAGTACGCAAGATCAGTGGCGACTTCTACGCGAACGCAAAGCTGTGTTCATTTCCTTCTCTTGGTCATCGTCTTAGGCAATGCGCTCGTAACCTCGTGCCGCTGTGCGAACATCGGCACCGACGGAGACAGAACGGTGGCCCCAAATTGCCCTCCCTCGGTGCTAGTCACGCCCTTGCCGACACAGCCACTCGCCAACAGCAAGATCGACGCTGCAATGTTACGCAGCTAAACGTGCGCGTGTGTGCGTGGCGTGAAGGAGGCCACTGGGCAGTTGTTGGAGGCAGTCGCCCTCCAGCAACAACTGAGGGCAGAGGAGCGACGCTCACAACAACGGGCGGAACGCCGGGCGGTTAAAATGCAGCAAGTTGGCACAGTAGGGGGGTACAGCTGGTGGTGCATCTACCGGTCATCTCAGTCAGCCAGCGCACGGCACCTGCTGCGTCTGTCCCGTAACCTCCTGTCAGCAGCGAGCCTTTGACACTTCACGTGGCCTCAAAGTGCACGTGGCCTGGCACGGGCGTCGTCGTGACGTCACCGTCACTTAGTGACGAATGGCGGTTGTATTGGAGGAGGGGGGGTGATCTTTGCGTGCGTGCTAAGAATCGTCCTCGACATCTCTGAAGCCCTGGCGAAGTATTTTTTCTCTTTTTAGATTCTCCAAAAAAAAAGCGGTGACGTCATTGAAAAAAATGTTTGCGCTCGTGAAAGGCAACGAAAATGATGACGAGGTTTTCTGGCTGGCCCCTTGCGTGACGAGGAACGTCAGTGACATTTAAAACCACGCATTGTCTCTACTGGCCCGTGCGTCCCTCGCCACAGAATGCGCTGCAGCTGTAAAGATACGGACCCGCATGCATTCACAGTAGTAACGTGGAGAAAGCACACACACACAATATATATAGCGAGTTCTATATATAGTGTGCGTGGAATGGTGACGCAGTGGTTGAAACTCCCGCACTATGGACCTTGTGAAACAGAGCGTGGACGTGTGGTCCTTACCCCCCACCTCCGATTCGCATGGTTGGCTACGTATTGAGCGAAAGAGGTTCAACATACGTACACTCCCGGCCACAAGTGAAAATCATCAACGCTCCTTAGGCCATAACTTCACTAGGATGGTGAAGTTATGGCCAAACAACCCCCATGGGGTGGCCTTCATCAAGGGACTGTGAACTACTGCTGTTGTTCTTGAGTGTGTGTGTGTTGTTGTTGTGTGTGTGTGTTGTGGTGTGTGTGTGTTATGTTGTGTGTGTGTTATGTTGTGTGTGTGTTGGTGTGTGTGTGTTGTTGTGTGTGTGTTGTGGTGTGTGTGTGTTGTGGTGTGTGTTGGTGTGTGTGTGTTGTTGTGTGTGTGTTGTGGTGTGTGTGTGTTTTTGGTGTGTGTTGTGTTTGTGTGTCGTTGTTGTGTGTGTGTGTTATGTTGTGTGTGTGTTATGTTGTGTGCGTGTGTTGTGTGTGTGTGTTGGTGTGTGTGTGTTGTTGTGTGTGTGTGTTGTGGTGTGTGTGTGTGTTGTTGTGTGTGTGTGTTGTGGTGTGTGTATGTTGTGGTGTGTGTGTTGTTGTGTGTGTATGTTGTGGTGTGTGTGTTGTGGTGTGTGTGTGTTGTGTGTGTGTGTGTTGGTGTGTGTGTGTTGTTGTGTGTGTATGTTGTGGTGTGTGTGTGTGTTGTTGTGTGTGTGTTATGTTGTGTGTGTGTGTGTTGTTGTGTATGTGTTGTGGTGTGTGTGTGTTGTTGTGGTGTGTGTGTGTTGTTGTGGTGTGTGTGTGTTGTGGTGTGTGTGTGTGTGTTGTTGTGTGTGTGCGTGCATAATTAACGAAGGCCTTCCCAAGCCACCGCTATATCCCGCAATCCTACAGCGCAACCATCCAACCCGGCGCTTGCCGCACACGGGGCTCACTGCATCACTCCTTCATCCAGCAGAGGATGGACCATGGCTAATGATGATGTTGACTGTGTAGAGTCATACGCTGACGAACAACAAAAGGTCTCGCAAAAGTTGAGATGTTGAAAATCTGTTGGGAAATTTGAATTTTGCTCCTTTCCAGATCCCCAGATGTAACCTTTGCTTACAAGCACAGGCCCGAATACATTTCTGGTTACTAGCACAGGTCCCGAATGCGTTCGAGCCAAATGTCAGCTCTCTATTCCTTTTAGAACATCATTAGAACATACGTCCATCACTCACTCAATTACCCCCAAACTGGTTCTATATATACGTATACTTTACGTGTGTATTGGGTAATGTTCGATGCCTACGGGCAAATGAGAACCCCATTTGCAAAATCTGTCGTTGTTCATTTTTTTAGACGACACCAAAGCAACAGTAGCCGAACCCGTGAGGTCCTTGGCTATCAACGTGGGTCTGAGCCGCCCCGTGACTTCAGGAGCGTTGTCCGTTGGTGGCCACAGCTCCGTCACCGATCGACCGCACAGTGGCCGCGAAAGCGAACTTAACCTGTGAACCTAATTTGGCTGCATTCCAGCTCCCTCGGTTGTCACTAACACGGCCTTGCAGGGCAGGGGTGTCCCCTGAACCTTGGCAAGTGACAAGTCAGAGGTGGTTCCGTAACGCCAACTTCCAGAGCCGTGCTCTGTAACAAAGGGTAGTTCGATTGCTCACCACAGAGGGCCCGTAATCTCTTTTTTCTCAGGTCACAATGCCAATAGCACGATTTGGAAAAGAATTGCACGGGGCTGGGTGGGGGAAGTAAAGCAAATGAAGGCAAAATAATTGACCCCAACATCCCATGGCATGACCCTCCTGACAAGGAGTCTTGAGACTCGCAGAGGCTTTCCTGGATGAATTATCGAGTGCTCTCCTCATCGTTCTAGTGTGGACCTTGAGAGCGCTTGTCGCGTGCAAAGCGCAAGCGTCAAACAAAAAAAGATTATCGCCTCGGGAATTCGAGAGTGAAAGTATCGTCACCCTGCAACACACAAAGACGCCCAGGTTTGTCCTTGAGATTAACTGAGTCAAGATTGACTCTTGGCTCAGATTGCTTCTTGGGTAAAAATGCCAATGTGCGTTTAACACGCGGGCTTTCGCGTAAATATAAATGCGTCGAAACCCCGACGAATTTAGTAACAAATTGGTCACGTGACAACGTTATTCATGCTAGATGTTGTTGCAGTGGTCAGCACAACTGCTGTTGCATTGCAGAGGTCGCAGGTTCGATTCCATCTCCCGGCGCGACAGTTCAAATAATGGGGCACATTGCTTACATCCCCTCCCCCATCACCGCCTCTGTCCACCCAGCAGAGTTGGTGAAACATGCAAATATAGGACCACAGAGCTTGGGAAATGGTTGGTGCCTGTTCTAGCTGCTCGTCCGTGGTTTCCCTAATCTCTGAAACATTCTCTCTCTCTCTCGTTCTGAGGGTGAACGAAAAATTCGGTGCATTAAACATTCTAAACCATTACTATAAACGAGCAGACCACGCCAGTTACTTGACCCGGCACGTTGTGGGGGTACGCTGAAGTGCAGCTACTCCTACCTCTTCCAAGACGTCTCGTCAAGCGTGGAAGAGTAGGCCAAATACCCTCGACTCGAGGGTCTCTCAAGAGCACGCACTAGCGATACCCTTCCACCAGCGGTAGCTCGAGCAGAAAATTGCAGGGCTGCACCTTGACAAACCGTTGTGAGACAATGTGTGCCCGCGTGCGTGTACGTGCGCGTGCGTGTGTGTGCTGTGCGATTCTTACACGCAGCTCGCTTTCTTGATTGGCTCGATGTACTTGCACTTCCCGTTCATGCAGTAGTTGCGCATCGACTTGGGGCACTTATTCCTCCCCTTCTTCCCTCCCTTGCCCCCCTTCTTGCCACCCTTGCCGCCACCCTTGCCGCCACCCTTGCCGCCACCTTTGCCCGTGCCCTCACCTTTCTTGTCCCCGTCACTTTTCTTCGCTCCTTCGCGGGGCTCTGGCGATTTGAAGTAAACGAGAAGAAAAAGAAAGAAAGAATTAAAAGTTGAATTTAACAAACGCGACTCCAAGTCATTACGATGCACGCAATCTCGATGTTTCCTACAGCCGCGGTTCTGAAACGGCGCAGTCGCCGGCAGCGACGTTGCGAGCAACGCGCGCTCCAACGGCGGGGCAAAGCATCGTTGGGTGTGGTGGTCCCTGTTGGTGAAATCTGGGCGACTTAACCCCTACGGCCCTGCGCGGTGTGGAAAGGACCTCGTCCAGCAGTGGATTGATGCAGGAGCTGTGTACGTACATGTGGCTGTGTGACCGGTAGCAACTTTGCTTATGTGCCCCTTTAAAATCCGTTTTTTACACGCTTTCATTTAACTCACTCGGTCTGTTGTTGTTGTATCCTCAAATCTCAATTTTAACTCACTTCCCAATGTGGTATCGACTGCAAACTTGGTATACTTATGTCATCCTGATGACAATACTATATTCTATGTTTCGTCTTGGCTCTAATTGTCCAAGGTCAACTGACGTTGCCTGTAATTGACCATGGTCCCTCACGTTATGGCAAGCTTCGGGGCCACTTCCTGGAGTCGTGGAGTTCTTCCATTACTAGTACATTTCATAAAAAACGTGTTTATAAAAAAGTTTTTTTTTAAATATTACTTATTTCACTTGCCTTTGCAACGCCTACTGTGATGGCACGTGGTAGACATAGTAACACCAAACCCAATATGGCGTATGTTTATGTATTTATTGTGTATAATCAGAAGCCTGGATTACTATTCCTTTAGTTAATTTACTACTACTATCTTCATTTTACCTGTATTACTTCTCTCGTATGCCTGGTCAGTTTGCTTTAGACATAGGCCAAGAAAGATGCCTTTCCTTGTCTAGATTCCCTGCCCTGCTGTTTGGGCCAGGCTGCCCGGGGAAAAATGGGAGGGTGTGGTCAGACCTCCCAGCCTCTACTATATCACACAGAGACATGGGCCCTGACTGAGTTTAATGGCCCAGTAAGGTGCAACTGAGATACAAAACAGAAGCAACAAAACCGTTTTTTTTGTGTTTAGCTTGTTGTCCTTCCTCCACACCTCTGATTAGCACGGTTGGCTACGTACGGTGCGAAAGAAGTTCAACACACGTACGTACGTGCGTGACATTGCACAACGTTCGAGGAATGTTACAAAAGTTACGCGTCGGCGATATCTGACCGAGCAAATTCGGCTTCATAGTCAGGACCTTAGATAAATGTGAACTCAGGGCCAAAGTTTATTGTCAAACAACTGCTGCTGGAGGCAGGCACAGTCACGTCTCAGTGAACATGGCAAGAGCCAGGGCGACATTTCGGCATCTCTGAACTTGGAACACCACATTTTCCAGACTATAAAGTAAGATGTACCCTGAAAGGTTTGTCCGGTGTCAATAATGTTACAATGGCACTGGCGCACAAAGATCCCAACCCCCCCCCCCCCCCCCCCCCTTTAGCCTGTTTGGGCAAACGCTCTTTGCGAGCATTTACTAAGACCGGCAAGGCACACTAAGAGGGTGGGTGGACAACACCATGGCAAGCCACTTTTGTCACTCCACAATGCTGATGTTTACACATCGTACCAAAGCACTTATTTCGTAGCGAGTCGGTATCATTCCATAACCGCGAATTAATCTCAGGATGGCAGCATCGTAGTGCAGTGCGCTAACCACAGCACCAGCGCTCCAAAGACACAGATCCGCCATATAGCCTTAACAGACCGTTAGGGCAAGTGCTATTAGCAAGCAGCACCTATGAAGGCTGGCACAGCACACGGGGGGTGGGTGGCCAACACCACCTGTCTCCCCAGCCGCGATGTTTACACACCGCACCAGGAACTCATTTGAGGATGAGTCGACCTAGAGGAGGCCCAGGACCGGTTGAAATAATTGTCACCGGTGTTGGCCGTGAGCGAGAATCGAACCCGGGTTGCCAGGTTCGATGCGCAGCGCGCTAACCTCTACGACACTGCTCCCTGCACGCGCACACACACGTACACAACACGCACGTGCGCACACACACGTACACACACAACACGCACGTGCGCACGCACAAATTCACAGTCGGGCCCCGTACGTACTTTTTGGAGGGGTCGCCTCTCCCGTGCCGGTTTCCTTTAGTCCCACCACGGGCAGAACGCGCGGCCCAACCACAGGTCCATCAAAATCGGCCGAGCCGATATCATCATCCCCATCGCCGCTCATCTCCAAATCACTCAGCATTGGGACTGGAGTGCTGGTGCAGCAGGAGAGGACTGCGGGTGTGGGGGGGTGGGAGAAGGAGTAGAACACAAATCAAATCATTAGCCAGAGTCAAAATATGATGTCCTGCTCAAATGAGCATTGAGGATGTTGGTGCTCATCTTCCCGTTTACAGGGGCTCATTTTCCCGTTTACAGCCCTGGGGCAGTGGTGGAAATTCCACATGACTATGACGGGGCCGAGTCATTCCATAGGGGGGAGCGCTGTCCACTTCGCCGCGAAATGGCACTAATTTTTGTTCGACCTCGAAGGGATGATGAGCTGAGTCACCCCCCCCGCAACCCTCCGCCCAACTAAGATTTGAACTCAGCGACCTGACGATTGCGAGCCCTGAACAAGGCTATCACGAAGGCGTTATGTTTCACGGACATTTAGCCTGCCAGCAGTTTCACGGTAGGGGGGGTGGGCGATGTCGCTATGCGGATGTACACAATTTGGTCATCCGAGAGCAATTTTCTAAATTTGGCACATGCTGGCACACGTGGCCTGTTTCTGGGGTTTTTTTCCAAATTGCATTATGGGACATTTACTGTATCCGAATCTGAATATGTATTTACCAAAGAAGGAATCCTATGAGCTATGAAGCTCTTTTTCCCAGACGTCCCAGTAATTTAACATTGACTGGGAAACAGGCGGCGTAGTTTTTAGGTCATCATCACACCTGCAGCATTAACTAGGGCGGGCAGCTGGACACGAACCGTTAACCTCTGCAAGGAGCGGCCAAGTCCAACTCTCCAATCCGCTCTCGCGAAGGGGGAGAGCGAGGGAGAGAGAGGGAGCGTGTGTGAGAGTGTGCGAGAGAGTTGGAGAGAGAGAGAGAGTTGGAGAGAGAGAATTTAGAATTTCGCAATTGCATCTGGGAGTGAGCAATGGTAGCGTTGTTGGTTTTTTTGTCTCCATGGCGACACACAAAATGCTATGGCTGCCGTATTCACCGGATTATAAGACGCGGTGGGAAAATAAGACGTGCCACCAGGACTCGTAAGAACACGGGTATCAATAGAGTAAAGGGACGTAAATCTGGTCGCACCTGATAATAAACGAAACACATTTTTTTTTATTTTACCAGGTAGAGCCTACTGAGCTCCAAAGCTCGTTCTCGGAAGCGACAGGCCACAGACGATAGCTCAACGAAGTGGCCCATCGTCACGTGGACATTTATAGCAGCCAGATTCTCGAAACGCCGTGGTGTTGTTGTTGTTGATTCTAAATGTGGAGGAGGTGGGGGGGGGGTGGAATCGGAGGACCCGGAGAAAAATCCACGGGGAGAGAGGAGACACAGCAAACCTACAAACATGCAGACGTCCTGTATACCAGGCGAGGTAGTTCACATCTAGCCACCATCTTATTAATATAACATGCCCTCCAAATGTTGATTTTCAATAGACAGGACAACATGCGTCGAACAAGGTACAGTTTCTTTTGTCCATAATACAGGTGTTTGTTTTTGGGTTAGATCGCGTGAATATGAATATGTCGTAAATATGAACGTGTCGTTAGATGTTTTTGGGGTTATTTGGCTTTGTCACGGACAATTGGCCGTGTCGGGTGGTGGCGGGTTTAACGACACATTTATATATTTACGCGATCTAACCCAAAAAAAAAACGCAATTATGCATGATATTGGTCGCGAAAGCCGACTGCGTGTTGAGTTTCTTTCGTCGCAAATATTTAACAGACCACCCCTGGACAACAGCGATAAAAGGTATGCAGTGAAGAATGCGTGCATGTCACTTTGGCGTCAGTGAAATAGTGAAACGAAAAAAAAACGCGTTACTATGCGCGAGTGTGTGGGGGGGGGGAGCGGTGGTGCAGTGGTTAGCGCTCTGCGCTCCTAAGCCGGCGACCCAAGTTCGATTCCCGCTCACGGCCAACACCAGTGATTATTATCTGAACTGGTTCTGGGCCTCCTCTAGGTCGACTCAGCCTTAAATGAGTACCTGGTGTGGTGTGTAAACATCCTCCGTGTGCCGCGTCGGCCTTAATAGGTGCTCGCTAACAGCACAGTATGTTAAAGGTTAGGTTGTGAATGCGTGTGCACATGTACCGCGTTTGTGTGTGTATATATATATGAAGTGTTCGTGGTTAGTCATTTACACGTGGAATAAGTAACTTATAACGTCAAAAAAAGAGAGATCGGAATGCTTGTACTCTGAAGTAATGCGAAACCCCGATTATTTGACCCGTTATTTATTTATTTACTTTCATCAAGGTTCACGTTTCCTCGTACGCGAAGCGCAACTCATGATTGGAATTTCCCAAACGCCCCAAATGTAGCGGCAGGACCCTCCTGATGAACACTCTTGAGACTCGGTGAGCCTTTCCCGGCCAAATGAAAGGAATTTAGAATCCCGGCCAAATGAAATGAATTGGCATTTCGCCACACTCAACTATAATCATACATTACAGGCCCTTCTGTGAATCCATCCACTGCTAGATGAAGTCCTCCTCCACACCGTGTTGGCCCCGGGGTGGAGGGACGTGGAGGGTGAGTGGTTGTTTGACCATACTTCACCACGCTGGTCAACCCACTCCAGGTTGACGCTATCATTTTGCCAACCGTTGTCGTTATCCATAGCCGGGAATCGAACTCGTGTTATCCGACGCCCAAATCACAGCGTCATTGGCTCACCACAATCAAGCCACACGTGGCGATGTCGCAAGCGTCGTAAAGGTTATTTTCTCTCTCCCTCTTCTTCCTCTGCTGCTGCTGCTGAATGAGTGGATTATTTTTTTATTTAGTTGTCTTTCCTACGACCAGAAGAACAAGTCGACTTGCTACGAAAAAAACTTTTTTTTTTTTACGTGGCCACATGATGCGTCGTAACAACTCCAACCTTAACCCGTGGGGCTACCACGGTGGTAAACATGCGTCCGGTACAATGGGAATGGGAGGAAGAGGTGGGGAAAGCACACACACAGGTAACACAACACGTCCGGTCAAGTGTCGGGCAGACCCTGGGGCGCCACGGTGGCTAGGAGATGTTAACTACCTCGCCTGGTATGCAGGAGGCCGTGGGTTCGATTCCGACCCTGACGCCTGCTGCTGTATATTGGGAGTTTGCGGTCTCTCTCTCTCTCTCTTCCCGTGTGTCGCGTGGATTTTCCTCCGGTCCTCTTGTTTTTCCCTCCACATTTAGAATCAACATCACGCGTTTAGAGTGTTTGGCTGCAATACATATCCACATGATAAGCCGATTCATTGAACTATCATTTGTGACCATGTCGCTTCTGAAAAAGAACTATATGGCTCAGTGGGCCTTACCTGGTAAAATAAATACGTAATTTTTTGTTCTATGGGGTTCACAACATCGATTGACAGAGAATTCACCTTCCTGCGAATATATTTTCCTTTAAAATTGTGGACGAATCTCATCGAGCGAACGGCCCTTCCGCGGGAGTCCATCACGTACCAAAAGCATTGGTTTAATGCGAGCACGCTCTGGGTCCTCTTCCTGACATTCAACGTCTTCATCGGCAGAGTCGGCCTCGCTTCAGGCCACTGCTGCCCAATTGCCCGATGTTGATAGACAAGGACGTTCGTTTGTGTTCTGTGGGCTCGTTGGGTCGAAAGGAAGCGTTTGCCGTTGTTGAGTCTATCGCGGGTGCGGAGTCTATCCGACCCAGCACGGATTGCGTCCCCAAATCGATGTCAGCGTGTGCCCATTATTTATTCATTTTAACTCTCGCGACGAATGTAGCGGCCACTAGTGGCTGGCTCGGTCGGATCAAATGAACCCATTGCATGCAAGCGGTGTTGCTGTCCAATCTACTGCCGTGCGGGCCTACTTTATACCTCATCGGATTCCTCCAGTAAAAATACATATTCTTCTTCTTGGTTCTTTCGGTAAAGTCACGTAGAAGGGAAATAATAAAATAATACAAATAAAACATAATAAAATAATTCTCACGACGTTTCGGCCACAACGCAAGCAGCCGTCCTCAGGTGAAGAACAGGTCTGTCGGAAAGACAGCGTCTTTCTACGTGACTTTACCGAAAGAACCAAGAAGATTAATCCCTGCAGTCACGAAAGCTTTAAATAGAAAATTAAATATTCTGTTTCTGAGTGGGGGGGGGGGGGTGTTATTAGTTGACCATATTTCTCAACGCTGGTGAGTATGGTATGATGGAGGTCTGGGCACCCTTGTCAACAAGACGTTCCATTGCAAAGGGATTGATTATCAAGGTTTAAAAACACATTTAAAGTAAGACGAGACCATAGATGTACAGCACAACGATGGGTTTTGCTCCACCGCCCGTTTTCTGCAGACGGTCGCCCGCCTAAGCAATTCTCCAGGGTCAGAGCAGCTGAGCACGATGCATTATCTTGACCATGTCGGGAGCTTTCGAGGAGAAGAAAAAACTGGCCATGGACAAATATCTATATTGTAATACCTGTAATTACGATGTGTAACATACTCTCCGAGATGTGAGGATATCGTATGTATTGCGAGTGGTTTGGTCACAGGTTGTCAAACAAAATATAAGACATTTAAAAAAAAGTATTTTTTTATCACGCACGTTATTCGATTAATGTATCGTGAACAGTATAATCGATTGTAATCGATTAATTGTTTCATTACACCCGAGCTGGTTAAGATGCAACTACAGAGCAGCGTGGACAATTCATTCGTGGGCTCATTCCACAGTCGTGACGTACAAAAGTGTATATGGGTGTGTATACAGCCCTGTGTGTGTGTAGGTGTGGGTCGTTGCCGATGTGGGAGTGTGTGGCTGGGTGCGCGTGTGCGTGTCCGTGTCTCTCTGTGTGTCTGTATATGTGTTGAGTGTCTGTCTATGTGTGTCCGTGAGTCTGTGTGTGTGTATGTGGGCAGCGGTAGTGTAGCGGTTAGCGCGCTGCGCTATGAACCCGGCGACCCGAGTTCGATCTCTGCTCACGGCCAACGCCAGTTACGATTATTATAACCGGTCCTGGGCCTCCCCTAGGTCGGCTCAGCCTTAAATGATTACCTGGTACGGTGTGTAAACATCGCCACGAGGGAGACAAAGGCGGTGAAGCGTGGTGCTGGCCACCCACCCCCTCGTGTACCGCTCCGGCCTTAATAGGTGATCGCTAACAGCACTTGCCCCAACAGGCTGTTAAGGCTATACGGGGGATCTTTGTCTTTTTTTAGGTGTGTATGTACATAAATGGATGTGTGTGTGTGTGTATATATGGAGGTTGTGTGTGTCTCTGTACGGGTGTGTGTACGTGAGTCTTTTGTGTGTGTGTGTGTGTTCGTTGCTACGATCCCGGCCACCTGAGTTTGATTCTGGGCAATGACGTACATGATTACCGTGTGTTAACCTGGAATGCGTCTACCACTAAGTCTTCTCAGCCTAAAATACACTGCCTGTTGATTTATATTTCACCAAGAGTGGTCGTGTTAGGCACTGCTCCGGCCACACCGCAAAAATCACACGTCCGCCGTTCCGACCTTAATAGGTGCTCGCTAACAGAACTTCCTTGAAAAAAGAAAGTATGTCGATGCTATAGGGATGATCTTTGTCTTTGTAAGTGTGCGTGTATGTATGGGGAGCGGTGGTGTAGCAGTGAGCACGCTGCCCTACACACCCGGCACGACACGAGCTCGATTCCGGCTCACGGCCGAACACCAGTGACGATTATCTGAACCGATCCTGGGCCTCCCCTAGGTCGACTCAGCCTCAAATAAGTACCTGGCGCGACGTGTAAAATCCAACGGCGTGGTTGCTGGGCCACCCACCCAAACTCGTGCCCCGCGCCGGCCTTCATAGGTGCCACTCGCTAACAGCACATGCCCCCGAATGGATTTTTGTTTGTTTGTGTAAGTATCTGTGTGTGTGTGCGTGTACACGCGAGTCCGAGCGCGCGCGTGTCCCGTGTCCTCTGTGCCTCTGTGTCGGTGTTAACACATCGGTCGCGCTCATCTCACCTGTCACCACCGCAACCAGTATCCACACCGACGTCTTCATGGCCCCCCTGCCTTCTCGCGCTCGCGGTCGGTCGGTCGGTCGGTCGCCGGGTGAAGCGAGCAATTCGCCACTCCGCAGAGGAACTGCTCGGACAATCTGGACGACGGAGGAGTGTGTGTGTGAGGGGGGTATGTTGCGGGGTGGGTGGGGGGCACGTGGGAGTCTTGCTGGGACGGCGGCGAGGAGCGGGAGGTGCAGCAGCGTCTCACACGCGCAGCCGGTGACTTGCGCGCGCGCAACCGCTCAACTCGCAAGCACGCACGGCACTCACTTTCCCGTGCGACTCACGCGACTGGCCACCTAACATCGTTGCTTTATCCCCCCGACCTGTCCCCCCCCCCTCCACCGTCCCACCCACGTCTTCCGGCACCCCATAGCGAGCGAGAAAAGGGCGGTGCCGATCCGCGCCTGCTGCGGTGAGAGGGCCCCTTGCGCTGCTGCGAAGCACGGCTGAGCCGAGTTCCATTCCCGTTGCAGGTGCCATTATATTTCCTCGGCCAATTTCGCTTTTTGAATCCGCTCGTGGTGCTCCCCTAGGTCGGACTCAACGAAAAAATGTCGGCGATGGAGGGAGACAAAGGCGGACGTGGTTTTTGGCCGACGACCACCTTTCCCTCGTGTGCCGTTCCGGCCTTCATATGGGTGCTCGTTAACAGCACTTGCCCCAAACAGTCTGTCGAAAGGCTATACGGGGGATCTTTGTCTTTGCGGGAGCGGTGGCGCGATGGTTTTCGCGCTCCGCGTTACGAACCCGCCAGTCCTGCTACGTTCGATTCGTGGCCACGGCTAACGTGGACGTCGACCGATACACGCGAACAACGATCCCGTCTCCCCCATCCCCCCCTGGTCTGTCTCAGCCTCGAATGATCACCTATTACGATTCACCTTGCATTAGCACCTGGCGCAAAGGGGAGATAAAAGCGGCTGGGTGTGGCTGCGGCCACACCACGACCTTCGCGCGCAGTGACGGCCTTAATAGGTGCTCGCTAACAGCACTGACTCCAACAGTCTATTGAAGGCTACACATGGCATTTAGTCTTGGTAATTTCTGCATATACACCATAGACTGGGATAATTGCTAAAAATGTTGTATTGTAGTGCAGTGTTAAGTACTAAACTCACCCACAGCTCACTAGCAGCACTACTGCACTCACCCCACAGCTCACCACCACCACCACGACTGAACTCACCCACAACTCACCAGCACCACCACTGAACTCAGCCACAACTCACCACCACCACTACTGCACTCACCCCACAGCTCACCACCAGCACTACTGAACTCACCCACAGCTCACCACCACCACTACTGAACTCACCCCACAACTCACCACCACCACTGCACTCACCCACAACTCACCAGCACCACCACTGAACTCACCCACAACTCACCACCACCACCACTCCACTCACCCACAACTCACCAGCACCACCACTGAACTCACCCACAACTCACCAGCACCACCACTGCACTCACCCACAACTCACCACCAGCACTATTGCACTCACCCCACAACCCACCTTAGTTTATTTATAAAGGTTATAATTCCTTGTTCATCACGACGTCCTTTTTACTTCGATGTCTCAACAGCGTCACGGAGATCACGTGACGTGAGGGTTTTGCCTTTGTAGTGAGGGTTGTGAGTTGACGCCGAGGAGGGGGGAGGAGGCGCCTCGCCCCCCCCCCCCCCCATGTGGAGTGACGTCACCCGCTAATTATTATTAATGGAGGGGATTATTCATTTGGAAGACGTCACCTCTTCATGATTATTAATGAGGGGGGCTGTTCGATGTGGAGTGACGTCACCTGCTCATGATTTTTAATGATGAGGGGAGGGGATCCATGTGGAGGACGTCACCTGTTCATGATTATTAATGAGGGGGGCTGGCCGACGTTGAGTGACGTCACACGCGGGACACACAGACATTATTGGCTCATTATCGTCGTGAATGTTGATAAATACACAGGTTTGATGAAACAAAGTAAGTTTTAACTTACGTGCCCGTACTCTTTGGTTCTTTCAGTAAAGTCACGTAGGTAGAAATAAAATAAAATCAAACAAATCTCGACGTTTCGATCGCAACACAAGCGATCTTCATCAGATGGAACAACCACAGCATTCTAAAACAAATCTGGCCGTCAAATTTGATTTAAAGCTTTCGTGACTGCAGGGATTCATCTTATTGGTTCTTTCGGTAAAGCCACGTAGAAGGGAAGTAATAAAAATAATAAAAATAAAACATAATAAAATACAATTCTCATGACGTTTCGGCCACAACGCAAGCAGCCGTCCTCAGGTGAAGAACAGGTCTGTCGGAATGACAGCGTCTGAATGAACACCACCAAGCTTGGAGCGTATATTTAAGCTGGGTTAGAGGAGGAAGGGCGCCTTGACAAGGAATTTGCATACCCAGGAAGGGCATCTCGCACCCCCGGGGGGCGAGGCATGAACCCCCAGGATTACGAACCACTGGCATAGAGAGAGAGAGAGAGGCGTGGAAAGCGCGCGTGCGCGTTCGGATTAAACTCAGAACCCAATTTTCTCTGCTTAGAAAATAATGAGGTTAGCTTGGTAGATTGCTTTTTAAATCCTTTATATTAAGTTGACTTGCTTGCTTGCTTGCGTGCTTGCGTGCTTGCTTGCTTGCTTACGACCGTGCAAATCTTTCGATCGTTTTTTAACCCACTTCCCGTGATCCAATCGAGCTGACATTTTGCACACAGACTCGTTGTGCGTGACAATTAATTTTCGTGAAAAAAATATTCCAAAATTTTACACTGTTTAGGGAAAATATATATATATTTAATTACCAATTGCTTAATGGTGGCAGACAATCATCTGACCCATAGGTGGCAGCCATCTCAAGCCAGAGGACGAGAGGACTCTAGCCGCCACACATATTAAGGATTTATAGTGAAACACTTTGTTTTTACGGGTTAATTTTTTGCAGGCTAGTTTATATGTTTTTCCCCCCTTTAATAAAGAGATTCGAAAGCACTTCTCCGCGTGCTGAAATTAGAAACACGGTGTTTCCTGGTTCAAATATAGATTTGTGTTTGCCCTCTCCTCTCTAGAACCCGATGAGTGCTGCTGCTGTGCGGACGGGTGATTGAACCTTATGGCGGGACCCCGGGGTCCCGAATAAACGGAAGTGAAAATCGTAAAAAAAAAGAAATGTATGTTTGGCCACTCCGTCTCACCGTGCACATGACTGCCGCGAGCCACGTGGCGCGGATCATTCTGTTGTCACGTCGTGTCCAAGCGCAGCAGCGAGGACGAATGCGCAGAAGAAACAAAACTTTGAAACTTTTATTCACGCATCGTGTAGAGCTCGTCGAGATGAACAGATCTCCGTGTCGTTCGCCTTCAACAGACATAAAAAAATGAACCCGTAAAAACTAAGTTTTTCACTATAAATCCTTTATATGCGTGGCATCGGTTTTATTTTATTATTCATTTCTGTTTTTCTTGAGTAAGAGTTTCATTTTCATCACATTGGTATTTTAAATTAAATATGAAAAAAAATCCTAAAAAGTGGAAAATTTTGGGGGGAAAATTTTTCACGAAAATAAATTGTCACGCACAACGAGTCTGTGTGCAAAATGTCAGCTCGATTGGATCACGGGAAGTGGGTTAAAAAAACGACCGAAAGATGTGCACGGTCGTAAGCGCGCAAGCAAGCAAGCAAGTGAACTTAATATAAAGGATTTAAAATAACGTCGCAACGCAGTTTATGCGAGAGCCGGGGTCCCGCCATGAGGTTCAAATGTCATTCTGTGAGACGTTTCGCGGTGTCACGCCTCGTGTGGCCCCCGCGGGGAGCACGGAATGAAATCGATTAGCCTCTCGCAGCCCACGAGTCGTAAGCTCCCACTCCCTATTGTATCGGAAGCTTGTCATCATTAGTTCGGCTTCAATTGCGATCATTGCTTGTGACAAGTGGTGATGCCGCTGTACGATTATGCGCCGATTAAACTGAGTTCGACTCCTCAAGTAAAAACATTCCTGCGGAAGGAGCTGGTAGGAACGTTGGGTTGCTCGGTCAATGGCCTGCAGGGTCAACGGCGGCGTTGTGTATTCCGCAAATATGCCCGACTGTGAGGGCGGGCACAAGTCGGCGTGAGTAGGTTAAACGTTGAGTTTTATAAGGGCACCACGGGGTGAGCAGCCCCTCCCCACCCAGCCCCACCCCTCCCACCCCCCACCCAGCCCCACCCTCCCCACCCAGCCCCTTCCCACCCTCCCCACCCAGCCCCTCTCCACCTTCCCCTCCCCACCCAGCCCCTCCCTCCCCACCCAGCCCCTCCCTGTACGACGGACGGACGGAGACAATAATCCCCTATGGGCTGGTGTAACCAGGAGGTTCCTACCAGTAAGAGGTCCAGCTCACAGTGGAATGTGTGTCATTCTCATCACGAGTGGCGTTTGACATCTGAATCTGAACGAAGTTTCTCGGGTCAAGGTGTCTGCCATCTCCATTGGCAGTTCTTAGCGAGTAAAGGAAATTCCAGATTACTATGGCGAGAAACGTATACCGTAGGACTCTCACTGTTGGCTTCCCACGACATTATCATTAGTTTAATTGGCCACGGAGGGATATGATTGATCATGCTTGATGATGCAATGATGGTGGTGGTTACTCTTGGGGGGAACGATGGCGTAGCGGTTAGCGCTACCCTGTGCTCCGAACCTGGCGACCCGGGTTCGATTCCCACTCACGGCCAACACCCAGTGACGATTATCTGAACCGGTCCTTGGGCCTCCCCTAGGTCGACTCTGCATCAAATGAGTACCTGGTGCGGTGTGTAAACATCGCCACTCGGGAGACAAAGGCGACCGGGCGTGGTGCTGGCCAATCACCGACTCGTGTGCTGTTCCGGCCTACATAGATGCTCGCCCCACAGTGGATATTTGTCTTTGGTTAGTGTTGTGGGTGGTATTGTTGGTGGTGTTGGTGGTGTTGTGAGTGGTGTTGTGAGTGGTGTTGGTGTTGTTGTTGTTGGTGGTGGTGTTGGTGGTGTTGTTGGTGGTGTTGGTGTTATGGGTGTTGTGGGTGTTGTTAGTGTTGTTGGTGTTGGTGTTGTTGTTGGTGTTGTTGGTGCTGGTGGTGTTGTTGGTGGTGGTGTTGTTGGTGTTGTTGCTGCTGTTGTTGTTGGTGTTGTTGTTGTTGGTGTTGTTGGTGTTGTTGTTGGTGTTGTTGGTGTTGTTGGTGCTGGTGGTGGTGGTGTTGGTGGTGGTGGTGTTGGTGGTGTTGGTGGTGTTGGTGGTAGTGTTGGTGGTGTTGGTGGTGGTGTTGTTGGTGGTGGTGTTGTTGTGTGTTGTTGTTGGTGTTGGTGGTGTTGTTGGTGGTGTTGGTGGTGTTGTTGGTGTTGTTGGTGTTGGTGGTGTTGGTGGTGGTTGGTGGTGGTTGTGATGATGATGATAATAGTTGGGATGCTGACGTTGGTGAAGATGGCAATGATGGTGGTGGTGGTGAAGATGACATCGATGATAATGATCAACATGGTAGCAATGGTGGTGACGATAGCCATTAGGATGATGATGTCAGTGGCAATGATGATCGGATTGATAATGATTATCTTGATGATGATGATATGCTGAATCGACGTCCATCCAGGAATTGAACTCATAACCTCTAGTTTGTAAGTCTAGAGTTCGAACCACAGTATATCAAGAGAAGATATACATGAAGAAGGTGCATTACCCGAAACGTCGCCTATATATTTTGTTTCCTCTTTAGGGCAGTGTTGTGAACGAATTAGTTTTATTTTATTTTATCTTCCGATCCAGTTCTGGTTTTCGTGTCGTTCCGTAGATTGACGCGTTCAATTGTTGCGATGGAAAATACGTGTTGCGTAATGCCCGGGCGCATTGAGAAAACCGGCCGTGGGTAGGAAGAAAAACGCGGCCTGGAGTTCCCTGGACTGGAGTTTCTGGTTTTGTAAATAAATGCGCGGACTTTGTCACGCTTTAGCTACGCAAGAAACGTGTGTTCTTATTGCTTTTTTTTGTTTCACTGCCGCGCCCGGAGATCGAACTATTACACAACAGAAGCATGAATATGCTCGCGTTACGATGAAGTGACCTGTTAAAACGTTAACTCGGTACATTAACTCGATTTCGTTTGCATCCGTTCAAATGTTCTCCCGGCCAAAACAACCACTTCATCACTGTCCTTCCGACTCGGTTTCCCGAATAAGCTCCCAGCACTTGGAGCAAAACGTCGGACATCGTGCCGAGAGGAGGTGTACGGCGTAACCGCGAGGACATCCCAGCAGCAACCTGCTGTTTATTGTTGATGTAATAACATCATCCTATTACGTAGAGAGAAAAAAAAGCGTGCGCTGACGTCTGTCCGGCAAAAACTTCAATCGACCAAATCCGGGCACCTTGAGCGTAGCGAGGGCAGAGCAGCGCTCAATGGGTGGTGAGTTAGGGCTCGTCTGACACACTCATGTAACTTTCTCTTGCATTTTCGTCTGTGTCGGGTTTGTTTTCCCTAATTAGTTTTAGCGACAAGGGGTTAATCCCACTGGGATTGTCCAGTGAAGCGCTGTAGGGGAGGCTTCGTGCGAATGACGCTGTATACAAAACGGAGTTTTACTTGGTTTCACATGTCGGCTTTCGCGATCAATATTGTCCATAATGTGGGTTTTTGTAAATGTTTCTAAATGGCGTGGGTTTACTCTCCAACACACCGGTGTGCTGCTGTACTCGTAACGAATTGGCCACGTTTTGTTTCCGTGACAAACCTTGCAAATTGGCTGCGTTGGGTAGTGCCAGGTTGAACGACACGTTCATATTTACGCGATCTACCCCCAAAAAACCTCGATTATGAGTGGTACTTTCTGAGCTGATGTTAACCACGTGGCCAAAAGAAAAACAGTCGAAGTGAATTTCCGCTCAAAATGAGAATTGCTGCAATACCCGAAACGTCACACATTGTTAATATATTGTTTTAACACTTGTTTCCCTTTCGATTTAAAGCTTTCGTGACTGCAGGAATTCATCTTCTTGGTTCTTTCGGTGAAGTCACGTAGAAGGGAAATAATAAAATTAAACATAATAAAATAAAATAATAAAATAAAATAATAAAATAATATAATAATATTTTATTTTATTATTTTTATTATTTCCCTTCTAGGTGACTTTACCGAAAGAACCAAAAAGTTGTTTCCCTTTGTAAGGCCACGGTGTGGTTGACAAATGCGTGCTCTCTTTGGCTGTGCGTGCGCGACCACTAGCAACGCAGCAGCAGCAGCATTAAAGTCACCAAATGATGTTTAATTCGTAAGAATGTTTCTACCCTTTCTGGCAATAAAACAGTTGTGTTAAGATACTCATTTGGTTCTGTCGGTAAAGTCACGTAGGTAGAAAAACAATAGATCACGACGTTTCGATCGCAACACAAGCGATCGTCATCAGGTGGGACAACTGCAGCAAGAAAAAAAAACTGCTGCTTCTTTTTTGTTGTTGCGATAGAAACGTCGTGATCTATTGTTTTTCTACCTACGTGACTTTTACCGAAAGAACCAAAGAGTATGGATTCCTGCAGTCACGAAAGCTTCAAATCAAGTGTGTTAAGATGTTAAAACACCAAACAGAAACCTTTTGCAAGGAATCATCTCTGCATTAACCACGCACATACTTGTGGTGAACATGCAAACACAAGACTATGCAAACACTACCAGAGCAAGTCCGTGCGTGGTTAATTCAGACAAGATTCCTCGCAAAAGGTTTCTCTTTGGTGTTTTTTTACATCTTAACACACCCGTGTTATTGCCAGAAAGGGCGAAATCAATTCTTGTACAGATAGTCCCCGAGTTACGATGGTCCGATCTTACGATATTATCGATCTTACGATGGCGATAGCGATACGACAAAATGTATGTCAAATATTTTTTATAGCAGATAGGATTGTTTCCTGAAAAAACGTTCTATTCAATTGGAGTTCATATGGGTAGGTAAGAATTTACCCTTTTTTTACTTTACATTTTACTGTGCAATACAGTATTGTAATTCATAAATACAGTATATAGTTTATACAGTACGGTACTATAAATTGCTCTCTTTTGCTAAATTATCACTATTCTTTAAGACTCCTGGGTAGGCTAGGCCATCTTCGACTTACGATATTTTTGACTTACGATGGGGTCGTCATAACGCATCTCCATCGTAATGAGAGGACTGCCTGTATTTTGATACTGGAAAGAAAGGTCCAATAGTGTTTACTTTTGAGCCAGAGGAAGTCGAAATTCTACATTGCTATGGCGGGGAGGCGGTGGGGGGAGTCAAACCCATCGGACAACCACTGTTGACTTCCCCCAAAGAGTTATGCGACTTCATTGTATCGACCCCGGAGGGATGATGGATTTGAACTCGTGCAACCTTGCCGCCCAGCCACGTGACCATTTCGCGTGACGATCTCGATTCGACGAGCGCATTTGGTTATGTACGGTGCGAAAGAAGTTCAACACACATACTGCACACATACATACATTCAGACACACATACATACATTCAGACATACATACATACATTCAGACATACATACATTCAGACATACATACATACATTCAGACATACATACATACATTCAGACATACATACATATGGCTGGCATTTCTGCATCTTCATCTTCAATCCGAACCGGATGCAATAACTTCATTCAACTTTTAATTGCATCATCGTCTTCATCATACATCAACAAGATTATCCATAAATAATCAATAAATCCACTGCTGGATGAAAGAGTCCACTTGACATTTTTTTTGTACAAAGATATTATTTAATCCATCATCAGCACATTTAATTTACAAAAATAACTCAAAAGCTTTGAGCATAACATAAATTACCACTGCTTTCTCTTAAATACGTTACTTAAACTCACGTGTATTGTGTATTTTTAAAAAATTCTCCCACTGGCAGTGTTTGTTATACAGCTAAATATTATAATACTGGTGACTGCGTAAATTGCATGTAACAGCCTCCATACCGCACCCGTTCCAACACTTGCTTGCAAACGAGAGTCCTATACTCAGACTTTAGTCCCCAACACTCTGATTCAGCAGTAGCAACACTGAGATGCCTTGCTTGTGCCCCTTATTACCGCATTCTCAGGACTAGAAGACGCACCGTTTGTTTTAAATAAACGGAGTGGTGGCGCAACGGTAGCACGCGTCCCTCTGAACCCGGTGAGCCGAGTTTGATTGCCGCTCACGGCCAACACCGGTGGCGATTATCTGAACCTGTCCTGGGCCTCCCCTAGGTCGACTCAGCCTCAAATTAGTACCTGGTGCGATGTGTCAACATCGCCACTAGGGAAACAAAGGCGGCCGGGCGTGGTGCTGGCCACCCATCGGCCTTCATAGGTGCTTGCTAACAGCACTTGCCCCAATAGCCTGTTAAGGCTATACGGGGACTCGTTATCTTTGTGTTTCTTTTGAAAATTGGCCTCTACCACAAAGGTCAGGGTGTCAAAGTGCGTTTGTTCCGATTGAACAATGAACAACGCCACGCAATAATTTGTCTTCTCAACCATTGTCTCAATCGTGGACTCTCGTTATGAGCATTGACCTTATACTTTGACCAACACTAGGCTGTTGTCATCTTGTGTGTGTGGCAGATGGGTGTGTGTGTGTGGGGGGGGGGGAGCGGCAGTGCAGAGGTGATTAAGTGGTGAGCGCGCTGCGCTATGAACCCGGCCTCCCGAGTTCGATTCCCGCTCAGGGCTAACAAACGCCGACGAATATCTGAACCGGTTCGACTCAGCCTCAAACGAGTACCTGGTACGGTGTTTAAACATCGCCACGAGAGAGACAAAGGCGGCCGGGCGTGGTGCTGGCCACCCACCCCCTCGTGTGTCGGACCGGCATTCATAGGTGCCGCTCGCTAACAGCACTTGCCCCAATAGTCTGTTAAGGCTACACGGGGTGTCTTTGTCTGTGCTATTTATGTGTATGTCAGCGTGTCCCTGTGTGTGTACCCTTGCGTGTCTGTGCGAGCATGTATGTGTTTCCTTCAGAGGTGTGCTCGCTAACAGCACTTGCCCTGATATTCTGTAGAGCTATACGGGAGATCTTTGTGTTTGTCCAGTGTGTGTATGAGACAAATATACACAGATGTCACGAAGGAACTCAATAATCCAAACCTACATAACGGTTTATGTGTTCACACATATATATACAATATATATAAATAACAGTATTTAACATAACGTGGTGTGTGTCTATCTATGTTCATATGTGGTGGCTATCATCTCCCTCCACTTATCTCCCTAAAAGATAACGGCTGAAAAGGCGACATTCCTATGAGAGCCACCGATGTTTGTCCACGCACACACACACGTACACACGTGCACGCACACACACACGTGTGCACACGCGTGCTTGCGTACACACACACGCACACACACACATACACACGCGCACGCACGCACACACACGCACACACACGTGTGCACAAGCGTGCTTGCGTGCACACACGCACACACACACATACACACGCGCACGCACACACACATACACACGCGCGCGCACGCACACACACGCACACACACGTGTGCACAAGCGTGCTTGCGTGCACACACGCACACACACACATACACACGCGCACGCACACACACATACACACGCGCACGCACTCACACACGTGTACACACGCGTGCTTGCGTACACACACACGCACACACATTGAAATGCGGTTGACCCTAAGATATGGCTCCTGGTTGCATACTGGGGATCGCGTGAATCGCCGACATGGACCGGGGCTTGTTTGGCTGAGCGTCTTCAGTAGGAGTCGTGAATTGCACTTGGGCAGTGTTTTTGTCTCTCTTCCTCTCTCTCTCTTCACACGGCGTCTCGAGATCTTCGTCTGTCTCTCTCTCTCCTCTTTAGTTGCGACCATCGCGGTATTTCCCAGTCAGCGACTCCAGGTCCATGTCTCTCCTCCTTTTCGACCGCCTGCTGGAAAGAACACAGTGAAGGAAATTCATTAGGAAGAAGAAGAATACGAAGAAGAATAATAATACTAAGAAGTAGAATACGAAGATGAATACTAAGAAGAAGAATACGAAGATGAAGAATTCGAATAAAAATAAAGAAGAAGAAATAAGAGAATACGAAGACAAAAAAGACGAAAAAGAAAAAAGGATGAAAAGAAGAAGTAGAAAAAATCTTTCCGTAAATAGATTAACCGGGTTATGAACCGCGTGAACACTCACGAAACCAGCATAGAGTCAAATTTACAAGAGCAATCTGGCAGTGGTTGAAAGCAACGGTGACCGCCGCTGCTGCTGTGCATGTGGATAGGTGCTCGCTAACAGCACTTGCCCCAGCAGTCTGTGAAGGCTATAATGGGGGGGAGGACCTTTATCTTTGTGTGTGTGTGTAATATCCCAGTGGAGCAATTTGCGGTGTACAGTAATTTTGTAATTTGGCAAAACTTTGAGTCTGATGTTGTCACGCGATGGACTACTTTTGCGAATGACGTCATGGGGGTTGGTGGGGAGGGGGTGGAGGTCTTTAACGTCCCTCTGTGAAGCAGAGTAGGCACGCTGTCATATAACGGCGATGACGCCCGCGATGACAACAAGTGTGTTCGCGTGATTCGAGCCGTTATGGTGTGCCTCTGCGCCACTGCCAACGCAATATCGACAAAGAGCGAGTCGTGAAACCAGACTCTCAAGTGCGCCATATTCAATGCTTTAAAAACATTAAACAAGGTCCCGCATTATATTTGGCTAAATGATAAAAGTCTATTTCGTCGAAGCGTGTTGAACGCTATTTGCGGGAGCATGTAAGAAAGTCGTTCTGCGACGTCATCTTCCCCCACCCCACCCCCCCGGGCCGGTTTCTCCAACGCACAGAGCGATGGACTGCGAGCTGCGGTGATGATGACCGGATATTTGGGGAATCGCCATCGTCATCGCCGTGGTCTATGCGGGCGGGGGCTCTTATCGCGTGAACAACGGGGTCGGCTTCAAAAGCCATCACTGCCGCACTCACTCCCCACCCATCCCCACTCGCCACCCACCCACCCACTTCGATAGCCATCAACCCTTGGACTCGACGCAACGCCTTGTTTCCATTGCTCACCGTGACCACGTAAAGGGGTTTTTTTTGTTCGTTAGTTACTTACGTCACGGGTGATAAACGAGATAACTTTTTTTGCCTTTTACCCGAAAGATGTTTACTTTGTGGGACGTGCATCTGAGTGAATCTACGGCCCTTGCGTGACGCGCGCTCTCCCCTGGCCAACGCCGAACGACCGAACGACCGATCGAATTTATTCCTTGCAACCTGGTCGTGACAAGTCACGTTCCACCAGTCGATTGCATCTCCCACAGCCCTCGAATCCGCCCGTCCACGCCGCCGCTGACGGAAAGGACCCTGGGTAGCTCTGGAGAGGCTTTCTCAAGGCTGCTTTGGGCCTACTCCCGGAAGAATCGGGAGTAACCCACACTCTAACCCACACCGCACTTGACCGGCCGATCAACTAACTGCAGTGCGTTCCTTTGCACTGGCGTGGTGAAAAGACACGGCGATTTCAAGAAACTTGCCCCGTTCTTTCAACTGGAATCGTACCGATACCATCCGGGGGTGCTGCTAACCCGCGACGCCGCTGTAGCAGCACCAACACGGTAGTTTGAATGACTTTGCCACGAGATGTTGTTGTTCGCGGTTCCTCGTTGCAATGCCACGCGCTCTGTGCATTGCGCGTCGTCGCTGCGCAAGGCACCAGGTCCACATTCCGATCAGCTGTCACCACGGGACGGTGAACAAAGGCTGCGGACCCCCTGTGCGTACAGATTGTGACGCACAGGGGACACCTGCTACTCGGTTTGGAAGGGGGGGGGGTGCGACGGTGGGGGGGGGGGGCGTCAGCTGGTGGGGGAGGGGGTCCCCTTTGCAGGCTCTTTTTTTAAGGGCCGCAGTCTGATTTACGCGCGTGTGGGTGGCTATTGCCTTTGTTGTCATTAGTGCTGTGGCTTTCATTCTGAGATTCACGACCGATATTCCTCCGTCTCGTCCCGTTTTGCGGGATGCTCACCTAAAGAGGATGGAGGTGACGGCGCAGACGATGAGGGCCAGGCACGAGATGACCAGGGCAGCCAGAGCGATGGTCCTCGTGTGGAGGTTATTCTCCTCCTTTGTGACGGGCAGAATCACCGACTCGCACCTCATGCCCATGTAACCTGAGTCACATCTGTACGCATGAGAGGGGGGGCGGCAAGGGACAGAGAGGGCTGTTAGGTGTCGGTCACGCACAGTTATACAGGGTGCTTTAAAAAATTGTGAAACTTATAGGGGACTACCGTTTTGAATTGAAAAAGAACGGATAATACGCCGTGACATGATAACAAGTGTAATGTTGATAGCTTCAAAAAGTCAAAGTCTCCACTTGTTGGCCATCATTGTCAACGCGCGCCTCGAATCTTCTCCAGGTGGTCTCCAGAGCAAATTCTCAGAAGTGTTAAAAACAATTTAAGCGCCCCAAAACACGTGGGACTTTGGTCCAACGGTTGTACACACGTACCAACGTTATAGGCTAACGTTGGGCAAACGTTGAGCCAACAACGTTCAGCCAGAAACTGCAATGGCGTGAGCCAGAAATTGCACGGGACCCACCCTTCCCCATCTACCCACATACACACACAATCGTGAATGATACACAAAATAATACCACGTTCATAACACAGAGCCATTGGGCAAGCCACCGCTGGCTGAACCCCTGTCCGCGCCACGTGGCACGCGATTGTACTTTGACAATCCGCCGGTCAGTGCGCGTGGGTATAGGCTAAGGGAGCATAGATGCGGTCGAACCAGGGGGTATGCAAGTAGAGTACAACAACGACGGATCTCGCTGCGCCTCCAATCGCGCCCCTGTTTGTGCGAGGTGGACAAAGCCATCCGAGTGCCGCACCAAGCCAGGCTCGAGGCCTTCCGAGATTACACGAGATCACGTGGCGTATTCCCCGTCGTGTACGTATGTTGAACTTCTTTCGCGCCGTACGTAGCCGACTGTGCCAATCAGAGGCTTTGCAGAGCGCTACTTGTATACGCAGGCCGATTTCCAATAATGCCGTGCATATTCGATTGTGCGTTGCTGGATGATTTCCTCACCACCGAAACTGCATGCATGCATGGAGCCAATGTTTGTCCCGTTTATCAATCACGTCGTCCCATTTACCAATTTGACATTGATGATAAATCATCGACATTGATGATAACTCGTCAATATCATCAACATGGTCATTACGATTACGCACCAGGAGCACGGTCATCATCAAGCAGCAGTAATATCAACAGCCGCAAAATCATATCCAACAATAACCACCAACATCATCAACAGGAGCAGCGACACCACCATCACCACTACGACCACCACCGCCGTCAAGCCTCATCCTCAAATCACGTGACCCGAGCGCCTTTGTCTCTCCCCTCTACTTACATGCATTGGGGCTCCTGCAGCGCATCGGCGAAGCGGCACGTGCCGCGCACGCAGTAGTTCGGCTCGGGGCATTCCGAGAAGTGGCCACGCGTCTGGCTCTCGCCCTTCGGCTGATCCTTCTTCTTCTTCCCGTCGTTCGACTTCTTCTTCCCCTTGCCCTTCTTATTCCCCTTGCCCTTCTTCTTGCCCTCGCCCGTCTTCTTGCCCTTCTTGCCCTTCGCGACGGGAGGCTTGCTCGGCAGCGTGGGACCCGCGCGCACGGCCGCCATCAGGTGCTCCGTTTCAAAACGCCCTTCGGACGCGCCGCTCATCTCGTAGTCAACGTCCTCCGCGTCGCTGAAGTTTTCATCGTCGTAGTCGCTGTAGTGTTCTTCGTCGTCGTCGCTGTAGTCTTCGTCGTCTTCGGGGAGAGGGCGCGGAGATAATTCGTGGCCAGGGGGCGGCGAGGAGACGGCGGGAGGACTCTCCTCTGGTCGGGTCGCGACGGTGCCGGCTCTCGGGGGAAGATCATTGTCGGTTCTGCTCAGCACAACTGGAAGACAGGGGTGGGGGTGGGGGGGGGGAGATTCGTCATTTTGAGTATAAGCAGCAGCAGCCAGCGCCTCCAACAATTGCCCGAGCTCCGCGATCCTCTCCATGTCCCGAAGCTTTTCGGGCAATGTTCTAAGCGTTTACCATCAGCAGCAGCAGTGCCCCTCATTTCGTGATCTCTGCATCTTAGCGGTGGTAAAAAAAAATCGTGCAGACGCAAAGCTTTGAAGCGTCCCCCCCCCCCCCCCGTTCTCTTATCGTCAACGCTTTGTCGCAGCCCTCGCCGGAGTTTCTGAACGCACACTCGCGGGTGTCCCATTTCATGCCCACGATCGTGCCGGTGCTTGTAACGAAGCACAACGCTCACACGAAACTGGTTTGTGTCTCGGTGCGCGCGCGCGCGCGTCTGTGTCTTTGTGCGGCTGCATCTGCCCGCGGGTGTCTCGTGCGAGCGCGCGCGAGCAAATGCGTTACGAGCACTCGCGAAACAGCGCTAGCCCCCAACAGTCTGTTGAGGCTATACGGGGGATCTTTGTCTATGCCGTACGTATGTGTCGTCCGTGTGTAACGTGTGTGTGTGTCGTTCCGTGTGTACCGTGGGGAGCGGTAGTGTAGCGGTGAATGCTACGCTGCGCTATAAACCCGGCGACCCGAGTTCGATTCCCGCTCACGGCCAACACCAACAGTGACGATTATTTGAACCGGTCCTGTACCTCCCTTAGGTCGACTCAGCCTCAAATGAGTACCTGGTGCGGTGTGTAAACATCGCCACTGGGGAGACAAAGGCGACCGGGCGTGGTGCTGGCCACCCACCCCGTCGTGTTCCGTTCCGGCCTTTATAGGTGCTACTCGCTAACAGCACTTGCCCCTGCAGTCTGTTAAGGCTACACGGGGGATCTTTGTCTTTTTTGTGTAATTGGAGCGGCGGCGCAGCAGTTGACGCACCGCGCCGCGTGCATACATCCGGTGGTCTCGATCCAATTCCCGATCACGACTAACGCCGAAACACCGATCACTTCTGAAGCCGTTCTGTGCCTCCCTTAGGTCCACTCAGCCTTAAGCGACAACTCCATACTCTGCATAGACATCGGCACCAGCGAGGCCAGCGCTGCCCGCACCGCACCGTCGCCCGGGTCCGACCTTAATTGGTGCTCGCTAACAGCACTTGCCCCCCCAACAGCATGTTTGTCCGCGCGTAGTTGAAAACTCACCCGCAACGGAGAGAATCCAGAGGAGAAGAACGAGCGAAGTTTGCGTCTTCATCGTGAGTCTGAGCGTCAGTGAGAAGTGGAACTGCGAGCGATCGGTCTCCGCGTGCGCACCGACTTTGCTCTTGCGCTCGACACTGGCGAATAGAGGGAATGCACCCTGGGCCCTCCTTATATACACACACATCGGCCGCCGCCGCCTTTGTGTGGCGCGATCCGTGAGTAAGCTTCCCCCCTCCCACTCATCCTCTCTCCTCCTCCCCCCTCTTATTTTTTTTTCATTATTCCGCCTACGCCCCACCACCAGCAGCAGCACCGGTACTCCCTCTCCTCCCGTATCGGTGATGCTGTTGGTGCTGTTCGTACAGCTGTTGCTAAAGTACAAGCGCAGTAGTAAGTAGTACCATGATCCCGTCAACACACGTGCAGTTAACAAGGGCTGCATTGATATCTGTGCAATTATGTATAAAGGTATTTATTCGACATCCGTGTACAACCAAAAGTAGTCAGAAGTATGATCAACACCAGAACGAGGACATTAATAGTCAACAATTAGCTGACTCCGCTATGAAACGTGACCCCCCCCCCCGCCCCGCCACCACCAGCTGGCCCGGTTCGCTGCCACGATCGATGTATAACGCACAGGTAACGGCGGTGCGTCGCCTTGCGTAGACTTAATAGGCGACGTTTCGGGCTATGGGCCCCCTTTCACAACACAGAGATTGCCAGAGAGAGGCCACTCGAAACATGATAAGCGACACCATTGGAACCTCATTTGCCAGTAAAAAATATGATAATTATTTTTTTTACCCTACTATCTGGCAACTCATTGTAAAAAGGTGTCAGTTTTGTTGCCAGATAGAAGGGTAAAAAACAATTATGATAGGCGACGTTTCAGGCAATGGCCCTTCCCAGTACATAGAAAAACCCCGCTACCCCCCCCCCCCCACCATGGCATGTCTCCTGTAAAAAAGGGCCATTGGCTGAAACGTCGAAAATTATATATTCTAAAGAAGTATTGTATAGAGCATTGGTGATGAATGCCTTGATGAGTTTATTTAACCTCTTGTTGTAACAGCTCTCTCGCTGCTTCAACAGTTCTACTGCTGGAATATTTTTTCCGCCTGAGGTCGACCGCTTGTGTTGCGATCGAAACGTCGTTATATATTATTTTATATTTTATTTTTATACCTACGTACCGAAAGAACCAAGGAGTATGGATTCCTGCAGTCACGATAGCTTCAAATCAAGATTGCTGAGTTTTGTTGGAGTTGTCAGCTGTGATTGTGCCACAACCGCAAACGCAGCATCATCATCACGATGCAATCGGTTTGACGCGTGTACAAGGTGTAGTCCTCCTGTCCGTGTACACGGAGGGTCTCAGCCGAGATTGCGAGTATGGCCGGCCCTCTGCGCCAATCCACTGCTGGATGACAGCGTGTTTTTTTTTTCCCCACGCCGAGCGGGTCATGGAAGGTAATGAACTGCACGTTACTACTCTGGTCAGTGCGATGTTGTTGAAGGCGGGGGGAGCATAGACGTACAGTACAACAGTGGATTTTTTTTTAATTTCCTGCATTACCTACTGTTTACTACCTATGGCACATTGGCATGCGCAGTGGTCGGACTGCGCTCAACGTGAACGTGATCCAGGCTCAGGTGCCTGCTTAGCTCTCGAGATCCGACAGCGTCGGCCGTATTCCAGGTGATTTGGTCATAACAAGATTGCGAATATTGTGACAACTGTGGGTTAGTCAGTGCCAGTGGTTCACAGAGCGAACGCGGATATTTATCTTGATCGCAGTGAGTTGGGGTGGGGTGGGTGGGGGGAGCGGTGGCACGAGCGGTTTTACGCAACGCATCGTGAATCCGGCGGCCCGCGTTCGATTCCCGGAAAAGGGGGTTTTAGTAAATCCTGGGCCCCAACCCGTGTTAACCAACTCGCATCTACGTGGGTGCTCAAGACTGGTCAAATAACTCCCATGACCCACACGGCGTGGGGAAGAGGGGGGTGGAGTGGCTCATCCAGCAATGTCAAGTGGAAGTAAACGACATTATACAACGCGTTAAACTCCGTTTACAGATACGCGGATGGTCACGATCAGTGCGATGAGATGACACACGAACGAGCGGGTGGGATGGTCATGCAGAGGCACGTAGAGATTTGATTTGAGATATCTCTTGAAGCCAGCTGATCTGCGAGATGGCAGTACGGCAAGTGGGTTCGCCTACGTACCCAGGCGTTGTGTGTTGTCCCCTCGTCTGTACGAATGCATGCGTGGTGTTCTCAACATGAAGCCAAATGTTCATGAATGGAATTCATGGCCAAACATCGCCGCGAGGCTTTCCTGCGTAAATAAGTCACATTATTACCATTGTGTTTGTTTCGTTCGCTCGTTTCTCGATCTGCTTGTCCTGATGAGGGTCGCGGTGGCAACATGTTGAGTAGGGCCTCCATCACCGTATATGTGTGCACTAAACATCTGCACCGGTTATGGGCCTCCCCTAGGTCGACTCAGCCTTATATGAGTACGTGGTTGCGGCGTGTAAAACACCAGCGCTGGGGAGACAAAGGCGGCCGGGCGTTGCGTTGATCACCCACCGCCGCGTGCACTGTCCCTGGCTCCTCGCCAGCAAGCACGTGCCCCCAATAGTCTACCAAAGGCGACACGGTGAGACATCACTCTGTAAGCACCCATGTTGTTGGCAAGTCGTCCTTCAAAATGAAGAGGCCGGAGCAGAACTCAAGGGGTGATGAGGTGAGCCTCTCGTAAACAAATGGCATCACCGCTCTGATGTGACATCACACAAATCCGGGTGTCGAACGGAGCCGTGGCATAACACGGCGTTGAACGCGACGAGGTCGCTCTTGGGAGGGGAAGAAGAGAATTAAGAAGAAGCAGCAACGAAACAATTTTTACTTCAATACGTGAGAATCCCGTGACCATAAGGACCAACCTGTGACCAGCCACAACTCTTTTCAACCACGACTTGAACAGCGCGCTCGCACGTGACTGTCCGTCCGTCCGTTCCTCCAGCCAGTCAGCCAGCCAGCCAGCAAATCTTTTTTTCATCTCATCGTAGAACATGAACATACGATAGCGTATCCCAGGAGGGATAAGCAACCAAAAGGAACAGCGCGCTCGCACTTGACTGTCCGTCCGTTCCTCCAGCCAGTCAGCCAGCCAGCCAGCAAATCTTTTTTTCATCTCATCGTAGAACATGAAAATACGATAGCGTATCCCGGGGGGGGATAAGCAACCAAAAGGAACAAGAAGAGACAATTTTTGTTTGCGAAATCGGTATAAACAAAAAAAACACCTCTCTATATTTAAAGAGCCGCAATGCGACGTGGATAAGGGTCACGAAGCGGTCCTTAATAGAGCCTCGCAGTCTGCCGACCTCCTGACCTATCCCGCATCGCGCGCAAATTGGGGCCCCGGTGGAGTGATTTGGTAGAGAGGAGAGGCGTTGGTGTCAGCACGCACGGATCTGAGGTCGCCACGCACATGTAGAACTCGGGATGAGTCGTCTGCTTCTCTCGCATCGGCTGCTGATGTAGATGCAGAGCAACAGACGACAATTTCACATTCAGGTGTCAGGAATAGCGGAGTCGTTGTATCATCATCGCTGCGATGTCTCCGTCGTATTTGCGAATCGGTGCATTGCGTCGTTACCACGTAGTGAGGTCTGTTCCGGATAACCGCAGTCGCACCACTACTGGAGAGGGTGTTTTTTAAATCCTTTATATTAAGATCACTTGCTTGCTTGCTTGCGCGCTTACGACCGTGCAAATATTTCGGTCGTTTTTTAACCCACTTCCCGTGATCCAATCGAGCTGACATTTTGCACACAGACTCGTTGTGCGTGACAATTTATTTTCGTGAAATTTTTTTTCCAAAATTTTCCACTTTTTAGGAAAAAAAATATTTCATATTTAATTTAAAATACCAATGTGATAAAAATGAAACTCTTACTCAAGAAAAACAGAAATGAATAATAAAATAAAACCGATGCCACGCATATAAACGATTTATAGAGAAAAACTTTGTTTTTACGGGTTAATTTTTTTATATTGGAACCGATAAAGTGATGTCACTCCTTACGTGGCGCGGATAATTAAGTTAAATATCTCGTTTGGGCTCAAGGGCTACACGTGATGGAATTGGCCAAGTCACCCCAATGTAGCAGAACCCGCCCGAAGACAAACATATTCTTAAAACTCAATGAGGCTTTCGTGGGTCAGCAGTTGACATTATCATCACATGTACTATTATTATCATCACTCTTATAATTAGCAGGGTTTTTTGTTGTTGATATTATTGTTATTATTGCACAGCCATTGGTGACAGGACGGACATCACAAATTTACTTTAAAACACTTGACAACACCTGATGCGCCCGAAACGTCGTGATTTATTTTGTTTCATACCTACGTGACTTTACCGAAAGAACCAAAGAGAATGGATTCCTGCAGTCACGAAAGCTTCAAATGAACGACTGTGACTCAAGGCGTGAGACTGAAACATGGATTCGAACCCAGGCTCTCAGTTGTTCCGGCTCAAGATTCTCTGACGCAAATTTTAGAACCCCCCCACCCCAGCCCCCCGCCGCTCCTACTCAGCTACCCCAGTCACATCCTCGGCAATTTATTTTTAGCATCAACTTTGTAAACACTTCAACTGAGAGAACCAGCCCCCCCCCTACTCGCACCGTGCGCGCTGTCATATCGGCGATTTAAAGAGGCACCATCGTTTACGCCGGGGTCACTGGCGTCATGCGTGCGATTTGCACACACTAAAGCATTTATGAGCCGATGGAAGTCATCGTTGGGATTTTCCAAAGTCGGGCAAAGCTCGCACGCGAAAGCACGGGACACGTGCAACGAGTTAGGGTTTAGGCACACATTTTGTGGTGGGTATTAGTGCGCTGTCATTCCATTCATGGTCTATCTACTGCTCAATGAAGGACCCTTTCCCACGCCGCTGCCCATCTCGCGGTCCTGCGATGCACTGATCCCTCCAGATCCAGCACGGCTGTTGGTCTCTTCGCTCCGTCTCCGCGGTGTACGCCCAGCCGGGCGCGTTTCCCCCCCTCCTTTAGCTGGCGATCCGTCACAAGTCTCGAACATTCGGCGTTTTCCAAAACGCCGAGATTTGAACTGGAGCTTATTTGATTGTGGATCAG